TCTAAAAAGTTTGGTTTATATATTTTAAGAAAGCACATACCCAACATTTATTTCCACTATAAAGTTTTGATTCAGTTGAAACTTAAATTTGGGGAAATTCTCAGGGCCAAATATAATAAGAAGTGAATTTTGTTCTTTTGCTTGAATTTCAATTTTGTAAAACCATTTTCTGCAATAAATGAAAGGCGAAAAAGGTCTTATACCTCTGTGACGTCATAGTAACGTTACGTCATAGATTTAACGTAATAAGAAAACTGTCACGGCACTGTACGTAATTTGAACTCCAAATCTGCTCGGCAGCGAAAAGGTTAATTTAAACAACTTGGTACCAAAGGAAAGTTCTCAAAAGAAATAAATATGATTCATGTGCAAGCACAGACACCTGACGTTACTTATTTTTTTCTTTTAATAAAAAATAGGATCTATACCCCCCTACCTAATAAATAAATGTGTGAAAGCATCAATTAAATGTTCTATAGAGCAATTGATCTTATGTAATAGCATCAAGTTATAGATAAGATGTAGCTGCAGATCTGTAGCGTTATGGTTTTATATATTTGTCTTTGGCCATAACGCTACAGATCCTGTGATGCAAAAAAGGTGCATGCAATTTACAGCGCAATATGTTTTGCGCGCTTTCAGGGGAAATTACCCACTTTCAAGCATCAATTTGGTCAATCAACCGCCATTCACTCCCTAATTCCAGACACATTCTGTAGCCAATATGCATATTTTATACACCTCCCAACCCTTTATACTCGTCTCTACAAGTGATAAACTCGCTTGATTAAAATTATTTGTTATATTGCAGAAAATTCACTTCTAACGACTTTATTGCCTAAAGAGACAACTATAAATGGTTGAAAGGTGGATAAAAAACAGAGGCGTAGTCACAAACTTAAAAGTGGGGGGTGGGTGGGGGCGGGTGCTCAAGTCCAGAAATTCTTTGACAAGCAAAATAAAAAATAAAAAAAGAAAGGGAAAATTCACCAAACTCAAAAATCCCATTTCGTGGGGGGGGGGGGGGGGGAGTAGCCAACTTTTTCTTCAAAGGGTTTGTTGTTCGGGGGGGGGGGGGGGGCACAGACATACTCTTGCCCCCCCCCCCGATCTTAGGGGGGGGGCTTTTGCCCCCGCTGCCCCCCTGTGACTACGCCTATGAAAAAAAGACAAATATATAAAATCATAACGCTACAGATCTGCAGCTAGATGAGATGTTGACCATTCGTTCAATTAAAAGAAAATGTCTGCTTTGAGAGTTTATTTTATCGCAATTTTTGCATATCTTTAATTACATGGGCGTAGCAACGGGGGGGGGGGGGGGGGGGGGGGGGCCCCCAACTTTTTTTCCCAACCTCACTTTTACTATAGTAATTAATTGAAAATCTGGTTGTTGCCCCCCCCCCCCCTTTTTAGACTTTTCAAGTGATGTACCAAAAATGAAGCATTGAAGCATTAGAATTGGTACGGAAAGTACATGTAGTTGACACTGAGAAACAGCCCCCCCCCCCCCCGAAATAGGACTTTAGGCAAACTTTTTATTTGCTTGTCAACTTTTTCAGGTAAGTAAAAAATATTTTTTCTGGCTGCTCCCCCCCCCTCCCACTTTCAAAAACGATGCTACACCACTCACTGTTGCATGAAGTCACCCGTCCTTAAAATTTAGAAAAACCTGATCTGAAAATACCAGGTACACGTGTATAGTTCATATTATAATAAAAGTCTACAAAATTAAGAGAGAAAATATTTCAAAGACTTTTCGTATAGACAAAAATATGATGGATATATACAAAGCTGGAGATAGAAGATAGACAGGATGACTCTAAAGTTCATTTCATGGGTTTAACGACCATATACGGTAATTATTGTTAATAACACCCCTTAATTTTGATTTAATCGTACCTTCTACATAGGTTGATATTTAGATAGCCGAGGTATTTAAATCATGTGACCTGGTAACAGGTAAATATAGAACAAATTTAAGACAAGGAAGTAAATTGTGATGAACGGGATTATCAGGGAGGCCATGTTTGATTTTGAGGTGAGGCTAGATTATATTAAGAAAATTTAACTTGCTGCAAAACATTTCCAGATATCATTATTGATCTCAATTCTAGTACAATAGTACGTATAATACATTAGATAAATTGCATGAGAGGCCCACTTTAGATAGATTAGATTAATTATATTCATTAACTACATGAACTGTTTTGACTGTTATCTAAAAAATGTTCCTGATTTTTTTTAATCAAAAATAAGAATAAAAGTTTACATGCCAACACGCCAATACGCTACAAATAGATCCTTTCTGTTATTTCTAAAACCTACACTGTCTAACAATTTCTCTAACAAAATAACTTATATATTGTATATTTATACAAAATTGTTTAATATTTCTGTAGTCAGTGACCCATGCCCCCCAGTGATGGATCCCCTGGACAGAGCTCAAGTACTCCTCCTCTGTGACCTGTGTCAAAGAGCTGCATTACAGAATCATTGTGAACTTTGTCAGATTAACCTGTGTAAGGCCTGTGTAGGGGAACATTTGTCTGATTCATCTAAAAGACACAATGTTGTTCCATACAAACACAGAAAATCTACTCCTAACCTTAACTACCCAAAATGTCCAAACCACACTGAGAAACATTGTGAACTTTACTGTAAGGAATGTGACATTCCTGTCTGTTCTACCTGCATCTCCTCGGGTAAACATCATGGTCATGAATTCAAAGATATCTTGCAGAAACCAAGCTTTATGAAAGAAATTTTTAAGACGGATCTGAAAGAACTAGAAAAAAGAATATTACCTACTTATGAAGAAATTTCATCAGATGTATACTTTGAAAAAGTAAAGTTGGAAAAGCATTATGAGAAACTGACATCAGCTGTCACCAAACAAGGAGAAGACTGGCACAGAGAAATTAACATCATTGTCAACAAACAGAAATCTGAAATTGATGAGATGAAAACTAAACACCTGGCTGCTGTAAATAAACAGGAAAAAGAAATCAAACAGATTACTTCTGAAGTAAAACAGAGCATAGCTGATCTGAAGAAATTACTGGACTCCAATGATGTCTCCCTAACCTCTGGGTACAAATCTAGAAATGCTGAATTCAGAAGTTTACCTCCTAAAATCAATGTGTCATTACCAAGTTATTCTACTCATCAGATCAACACAGAACAGCTCCGTCAAATGTTTGGTTCTCTGTCAGGATTATCCATTACAACAGAAGAACATGGCTACACAATTATGAAGACATCAGAAGCTGTATCCTATCCTCCAGTCAAACCACTGCTTGATGAACCAGAGCTCATCACCACCATAGACACTGGGTATAACGCACTATACAGTGTTACCTGTCTCGGTGAAGAAGAAATCTGGACTAGTGGAAATGACGAAATTATGAAACTTTACAACCTCAAGGGCAAACTACTGAAGTCAATCCAAACCAAGTCTGGAAAAATATCAGATGTCATAGCAGTGACAAGGAGTGGAGATCTAGTTTATACTGACCCTGATACAAGAACTGTAAACATAGTGAAGAATAAACAGATACAGGAAGTGATCAGATTACAGGGGTGGAATCCTAACAGTGTCTGTAGTACCTCCTCTGGTGACCTCCTGGTTACCATGGACAGTGATGATGAAGAACAATCAAAAGTTGTCCGTTACTCTGGCTCCACAAATAAACAAACCATTCAGTTTGACAGAGAAGGTAAACCTCTGTATTCATGTAGTAGTATCTTCAGTAAATACATCAGTGAGAACAGGAACCTAGATATCTGTGTGGCTGACCGTGGAGCCAGTGCAGTTGTGGTGGTCAATCAGGCAGGAAAACTCAGATTTAGATACACTGGTCATCCCTCTACTACCAAGAGATCATTTTATCCAGTCGGCATCACAACAGACAGCCAGAGTCAGATCCTGATAGCAGACTGTGGTAACAACTGTATCCACATCCTAGATCAGGATGGACATTTCCTCCGTTACATTGATAACTGTGATCTACATTATCCATATGGTTTATGTGTAGACACCGGAGACAATCTCTTTGTGACCGAGTGGAACAGTGGTAAAGTGAAGAAAATCAAATACATGTTAAACATTGTATTTTAAATATTGACTTATTTGTGATAGAGATTTTTTCCAAAATCACAAGAATATATAGTTTGATTCAGGTTCACTTTCTCGTGTTCATATGTTTGTGTAAAATAATTTAAAAAATAAATATTATCAATAAGGTATAAAATATACATTATAATTCATAAACAATTTTGAAACGACTGCTCAATAAAGACCCAACATTAGAAGAAACTTTCAATATCTCATGAAAATACTATTTCCTGTGGTTTCATCAATTTTCGTTGCCATCATGGATTTTGTAAAAAAAAAAAAAAAAAAAAAAAAAAAAAAAAAAAAAAGACGTTCTCAAGAATACACAATTTTTAGGACTAACTCATTGCCTTTACAAATAAATATTGTATTTCTCAATTCAAAGAACATTGAATTTCGTGGATCTGCTCAACAACAAATTCCTCAAAAATTGGTGCTCAACAAATATTGAGAAAACCATGCACAGTAAATTTGTGAGCATGAAGAAAGAAACAAAATATTATTATGTACATTTTTATCAATTTGACCCTCTAGCTATCATGCACTGCACACTGTGGAGTTCTGATTATACTTGACTAGAATAATATGGCCTTTGATCTAAAATAAATCTAAATCATTTTAATCTAGTTATATGTTACTTAAAATAAATAAATTTAACACTTTATTAAAATTATTTCTTGGACGCATTTGACACAAAATAACGCAGGGTTTGACTGTGTATATTGTAATCCCAAAACAATCACAAGATATCTGATTCAGAAACTTTTCATTGAAGATGTTTTCATTTTATTTTTAATTCACATACATCTTGAATTACATGGACAAAAATAATTTCATAAGATATTAAAAGTTCAAGTTCCATACAATATCAGCTCAATAAATCTATAATTATAGTCAGTAGAACTAAGCATTAAAAAGTCATATCAAATTTTATAAACAACAATCATTTCACTATAGCGAGCCACCTGTGCTTGTATTTGCTCCCCGTGTTGAGCCTCAATAGTCTTCTTACTCTCCTTATGAGGGCCTCCACAAAGCTGTAGTGAGTCCTGGAATTACAGTATTCCTAAACAAACAATGGTTTATATACATGTAAATCCAAAGACATTTTTCATAATAAAGTGATGAATTAAGCATAGCTCAATAACAGTACATTGTATTTCTCAATTTAAAAGTATTCAGTATTATAAAATGCCATTTGGATTAAGTTGTACTCTATCATATGGCATAAAATCAGCACTCTAACTGTTCCATAGGATATGCAAATATCCATTAATCAACTAATCTCATAAAACATCGAACCAATTTTAAAGCATGCTGGAGGAAAGGGCTGGACAAAACACTTTTTATTTATGGCTATGGGTGAGAGTTAAATGTGAACCATGGAAGGATAGATAAACCACTTTTAAGGTGGAGATTATACCTTAAGATGGGCCAGGGGAAAGGTTTGGCTGAAATAATTGTCTGTGGGTGAAAGGTCACCTACGGTCACTGTGGTGGTTGGGCTGGAAAAGGGGGGATGAATCATTCTTTTTAAAATGTTGACTGTGAGAGAGGTATGAATTTTTTTTTTCTTTATATAATTTTTTGTTCATCTTTTTTTAAGGTCACCTGAGTTTACTCAGGTGATCTATTGCCATCTGTTTTCGTCCGTCGTCGTGCGTCGTTCGTCGTGTGTTAACATTTGAACATTTTTCTCTTCTTCTCTGCAACCACTGAACCAATTTCAATCAAATTTGGCACAAAGCATCTTTGGGTAAAGGAGAACAAAAATTAAGAATTTCATGATCCCTACCCCCCTGGAGCTTTGGGGGTGGGGGCCAATACCACTAAAATTAATGCAATTTTTAAAAATCTTCTTTACTCCTGGACATCAAGCAGTCAAACTGTTTGCATGAAGTAATCAGCATTGAGTCCTTTAGCAAAACTGTGAAATTCATGACCCTCGGGTCAGGGGTACTTGTGCTAGGGTGAGGATAAATGTGTATATAGTGAAAATGCATTATTTCTTTGAAAATCTTCTGCTCTGGTACTGGGTATTAAATAAACTAATTAAGTACATAGTTATAATGAGCAAAAGTGCCTCTACCAAAATTGTGAATTTTATGGCCCTAGGAACAGGGTTCTGGTGTTAGGGTGGGGCTCTATTGATTATATAGAGAAAAAAACATGAATTCTTTGAAAATCTTCTTCTTTGCTCCTAGGTTTTAAATAAACTAACTAAGTACTTAGTTATAATGAGCAAGAGTGCCTTTACCAAAATTGTGAATTTTATGGCCCCAGGGTCAGGGGTTCTGGTGTTAGGGTGGGGCTCTATTAATTATATAGAGAAAATACATGAATTCTTTGAAAATCTTTTTCTTTGATCCTACATTTTATATAAACTAACTAAGTACATAAGTATGATGAGCAAGAGTGCCTCTACCAAAATTGTGAATATTATGGCACTAGGGTCAGGGGTTCTGGTGTTGGGGGGCTATATTGATTATACATGAATAGTGAAAAAACATTAAATCTTTGAATATTTTCTTCTTTGCACCTAGGTTTTAAGCAGATGAACTACCTTTATAGTATGAGCAAGGGCAGTAATCTTCAAGAAGTATAATTTCAAGGCCCCACGGCAGTTGTACCATAGAGGGAGTGGGGGAGGGGGCTGTACTTATATACTGAAAATGAATGAATTGTTTGAAATGAGCTCCTTGGTATTAATCAAATATATTTGAAAAGCATGAATGCCTTTCCAAAAATTGTACAATGTGTGGATCTAGGCCTAAGAGTCAAGGGTTCATGTGTGGTAGCAACACTACTCATTATTGCTGAATATTACTGATTTGTTGAAATGCATTTTTTGTTCCCCTAACCTGTCTATGGGTATTAAGTAACCAAACTAAGGAACTGTTAAGTGTATAGTTATGATGACCAAATTGTAATTTTTATGCCATAGCATCTGGCTTAAAACATGCCAAGATCAAATTCATTCACTGGAAAGTTGTTGAATAATGCTCAGGTAACCTATAAGGCCCATGGGCCTCTTGTTTCTCTACATTTGGAATATCTGTCCTTTCACTATCAATCTTCTGTACCTTTTGGAGGTGTGAGTCATGTATAGTTGAGTTTGCTGTCTGTTTCAGTGTCATCTTCACTGGTCACCCCCATCATAAGTTGTTTGTCAATGTCTGGTAAAGATCGAGTCTGCATCAGATTCTCCAAATGATGAATGAGAAATCCCAGTTAAATCTGTAAACATTTTAAGATAATTAACTTATCAGAACTCACTATCTGGAAGTACATACCGAGATAAACAATTTCAATATTGTACACCAAATTATTTTCATTCAGTTTTATTTTTGCCCCCTTACACTTTAAATTTTGCCTTATTTTGGATTCACCTAGACTCAGTCGTGTCTGTTTTCTTAAATTCTCACACTTGTTAAAAAGGTATAGACTAAAATTGGAGGTAGAAATATCCATGCATGCATAAAAAATTCATTTCACTGAGAGAAAAAAGATCATAAGGTATTAAAACTCGTTTGTACCACATAAAAAAACATGAGATACAAATAGCCTGACTAACCTTGAAGCCTCCTGAGTTGTGTATGTCTGAGTTTGACTCTGGTACGTATATATAGATTTCTGCTGATTGACAGGAACACAGTGAATAAGATAATACTTCAGGTGGCGCCACAACATAAACAGACAATTCTCCAAGATGTCTACAGCAGAGTCAAAGGATTTAAGTTTATTATAGTTCTAGCTTTTCAATGCTTTAATTTATCCACATATTTAACAAGATGCCCACGGGCCTCATAGGTCACTTGAGTATTGTGCAACAAATTTCAAACAATTAAATTTGGTTCATGTTATAAACCAGAGTCCATGGAATTCGCAATTCACAATTTTGAAAGAAGTACCATTGCTTATAATAATTTAGACTTATCATGCTTACTCTATTTACTTAATACCCAGAGGTAGATCAGAGTACCATTAAGAGAAAATGCACTTCCACTTTATAACGAGTTGTACACCTCATCCCAAAGGAACCACTGATCCTGGGGCCACATATTTCAAAATTTTGAAAATTTTATCATAAACTGGTTGATTAACAGCAAAGAGCAAATTTCCAAGCATTAATTAATTTTAGACTTTGTACCCCCACCCCTCACCCCTACCCAAGGAAAGGGAGGGGGCATAAAAAATAACCATTTTGCTAGGTGCACCTTTCTTCATCATGAATATATTTTTGGAAGAGAATATGGAAATAACGAACAATATTCAATCTCAACGTTCATTAAACAAATATACAAAATAAGAGCAGAGCAAACACGAACTAAGTACTTAGATAGTTTAATACCCAGAAGTAGAGAAGAAGATTTTTAAAGAATAAATGCATTTTCACTATATAACCAATACAGCCCCGCCCTAACACCAGAACCCCTGACCCTGGGGTCATAAAATTCACAATTTTGAAAAAAGCACTCTAGTTCTTCATAACTATGTGCTTTGTTAGTTTATTTAATACCAAGAAGTAGAGAAGAAGATTTTCAAAGAAATCATGCATTTTCACTATATAATATAAAAATAAAAAAGAAAGGGAAAATTCACCAAACTCGAAAATTCCATTTCGGGGAGGGGGGGGTAGCAGCCAACTTTTTCTTCAAAGGCTTTACTCTTCGTTAAAAAGTGAGGGGGGCACAGACATACTCTTGCCAACCCCCCAAACCGATCTGAAAGTGGGGGGGGGGGCTAGTGCCCCGCTGCCCCCCTGTGACTATGCCTATGAAAAAAAAGACAAATATATTAAATTATAACGCTACAGATCTGCAGCTAGATGAGATGTTGATCATTGGTTCAATTAAAAGAAAATGTCTGCTTTGAGAGTTGTAAATTGGCGTACCAACGGGGGGGGGGAGGAGTGCGCCCCTACTTTTTTTCCAACCTTACTGTAACTATAGGATATGTTAACTGAAAACCTGGTTGTTGCCCCCCCCCCTCTTTAGACTTTTTAAGTGATGTACCAAAAATGAAGCATAAAAATTGGTCCGGAAGGAAAGTAGTTGACACTGAGAAAAAGTCCCCCCCCCCGAAATAGGTTTTCTTACTTTTGGCAATCTTTTTTTTTTTTTTTTGCTTGTCAACTTTTTCAGGTAAGTAAAAAAATATTTTCTCTGGCTGTTTCCCCCCTCCCACTTTCAAAAACGATGCTACACCACTGTTGCAGAAAGTCACCCGTCGTTAAACTTAGGAAAACCTGATCTGAAAATACCAGGTACACGTGTTTATAGTTCATATTATAATAAACGTCTACAAAATTAAGGGAGAAAATATTTCAAAGACTTTTCGTATAGACAAAAATAATATGGATATATACAAAGCTGGAGATAAAAAGATAGACAGGATGACTCTAAAGGTCATTTTCATGGTTTAATGACAATATACGGTAACTATTGTTAATAACACCCCATAATTTTAATTTAATCGTACTCTCTACATAGGTTGATATTTAGATAGCTGAGGAATTTAAATCATGTGACCTGGTAACAGGTAAATATTTAGAACAAAGACAAGGAAGTTAATTGTGATGTACGGGATTATCAGGGAGGCCATGTTGGTTTTAGAGGTGAGGATAGATTATATTAAGAAAATTAAACTTGCTGCAAAACATATCCAGATTTCATTATTGATCTCAAGTCTTGTACAATAGTACGTATAATACATTAGTAGATTGCATGAGGGGGCCACTTTAGAAAGATTAGATAAATCATATTTATTAATTTACATGAACTGTTTTACGAAAGCCTATTAGGACCAATCTAGAGAAAAAAAAATTAAAAGGCGTTAAAACGCCTTTCGAAAAGGCGTAATAACGCGAAAAAAAGGCGTTATTATGCCTTTCCATTCCAAAAGGCGTTATAACGTCTTTTTAAAAGGCGTTATAACGCCTTTCTTAAAGGCGTTATTACGCCTTTTTAAAAGGCGTTATAACGCTTCCATTCTAAAAGGCGTTATTACGCCTTTCCTTTCTGAAAGGCGTAAAAGGCGTTATTACGCCTTTCCATTCTAAAAGGCATTTTTACGCCATTCCAATCTAAAAGGCGTTATTACGCCTTTCTATAAGGCGTTATTACACCTTTCTATAATGCGTTATAACGCCTTTTTTTAAAGGCGTTATTACGCCTTTCTAAAAGACGTTCTTACGCCTTTCTAAAAGCTATTAAGGTGCAGAAATCTTACCTGTGGGACATTGATTTTTCAATTCATACAGGACTTATTTCTCAAAAAATAATTTAAAAAGATAACAATTAGATTTCCAGAAATTTTTTTTTTTTAAATGCGTCATATATTTTCAATGTTGAACCAACTAAGTCCTTTTTTATTACCAGGCACACTTCTACCAAGGATCATTGATTACAATAGCTCATTATACCTATGCAAATAGTTTACTTTTTTCCAAGAAGAGAGAAAAATATCTTCAAATGACATGAATTTTAACCCAGGGCAAGCAAAGCTCCAAGAAACATCTTCACAAGTAGAGTACGTGTTGCCTTCTCTTAATATGCATGCAAACAGTTGTCAGTGTGATGTATTTGGTGCTTAGTTTCTGAATATTTTGTTGCAGTGTATAAAACTGTGCCAAATTATTGCATTTAAACAAAGTTTTACCAAGAAGTCCCCCCGCGAGTTTGGCCAGTAGAGTGGTGGGTGGTGGTTGGGGGGGGTGTAAAAGCACGGGCCTGTTAAATGCAAAATAATAATTATTCAAAAAGAGTTTAACCCTTTTGGAAAGGCATAATAACGCCTTTTAGAAAGGCGTAATAATGCCTTTTAAATTGGAAAGGCGTTATTACGCCTTTCAGAATGGAAAGGCGTAATAACGCCTTTTAGAAAGGCGTTATAACGCATTTTGAAAAGGCATAATAAGGCCTTTTGGAATGGAAAGGTGTAATAACGCCTTTTCAAAAGTTGTTATAATGCCTTTTCGCGTTACTACGCCTTTTCGAAAGGCGTTATAACGCCTTTTAATTTTATTTCTCTATAGATTGGTCCTAATAGGCTTTCGTACTGTTTTGACTGTTATCTAATAAGAATTTTTCCTGATTTTTTTAAATCAAAAAATAAGAAAAGTTTACAAGCCAACACGCCAATACGCTACAAATAGATCCTTCCTGTTATTTCTAAACCTACACTGTCTAACAATTTCTCTAACAAAACAACTCTTATATATTGTATTTATTCAAAATTGTTTAATATTTCTGTAGTCAGTGACCCATGCCCCCAGTGATGGATCCCCTAGACAGAGCTCAAGTTCTCCTCCTCTGTGACCTGTGTCAAATAGCTGCATTACAGAGCCACTGTGAACTTTGTCAGATTAACCTGTGTAAGGCCTGTGTAGGGGAGCATCTGTCTGATTCATCTAAAAGACACAAAGTTGTTCCATACAAACACAGAAAATCTACTCCTAACCTTAACTACCCAAAATGTCCAAACCACACCGAGAAACATTGTGAACTTTACTGTAAGAAATGTGACATCCCTGTCTGTTCTACCTGCATCTCCTCGGGTAAACATCATGGTCATGAATTCAAAGATATCTTGCAGAAACCAAGCTTTATGAAAGAAATTTTTAAGACGGATCTGAAAGAACTAGAAAAAAGAATATTACCTACTTATGAAGAAATTTTATCCGATCTATACTCTGAAAAAGTAAAGTTGGAAAAGCATTATGAGAAACTGACATCAGCTGTCACCAAACAAGGAGAAGACTGGCACAGAGAAATTAACATCATTGTCAACAAACAGAAATCTGAAATTGATGAGATGAAAGCTAAACACATGGCTGCTGTCAATAAACAGGAAAAAGAAATCAAACAGATTACTTCTGAAGTAAAACAGAGCATATTTGATCTGAAGAAATTACTGGACTCCAATGATGTCTCCGTAACCTCTGGGTACAAATCTAGAAATGCTGAATTCAGAAGTTTACCTCCTAAAGTCAATGTGTCATTACCAAGTTATTCTCCTCATCAGATCAACACAGAACAGCTCCATCAAATGTTTGGTTCTCTGTCAGCATTATCCATTACAACACAAGAACATGGCTACACAATGAAGGCACCAGAAGCTGTATCCTGTCCTCCAGTCAAACCACTGCTTGATGAACCAGAGCTCATCACCACCATAGACACTGGGTATAGCTATCTACACAGTGTTACCTGTCTCAGTGATGAAGAAATCTGGACATGTGGAAATGACAAAATCATGAAACTCTACAACATCCAGGGCAAACTGCTGAAGTCAATCCAAACCAAGTCTGGATACAGGCTACGTGACATAGCAGTGACAAGGAGTGGAGATCTAGTTTATACTGAACCTATTACAAGAACTGTAAACATAGTGAAGAATGACCAGATACAGGAAGTGATTAGACTACAGGGGTGGAAACCTCGCTATGTCTGTAGTACCTCCTCTGGTGACCTCCTGGTTACCATGGACAGTGATGATGATAAACAATCAAAAGTTGTCCGTTACTCTGGCTCCACAGAGAAACAAAGCATTCAGTTTGATAGTGAAGGTAAACCTTTGTATTCATCTAGTTCATACACTAAATACATCAGTGAGAATAAGAACCTAGATATCTGTGTCACTGACAGTGGAGCCAGTGCAGTAGTGGTGGTCAATCAGGCAGGAAAACTCCGATTTAGATACACTGGTCATCCCTCTACTACCAAGGGATCATTTGCTCCAGTTGGCATCACAACAGACAGCCAGAGTCAGATCCTGACATCAGACAGTGACAACAACTGTATCCACATCCTAGATCAGGACGGACAGTTCCTCCGTTACATTGATAACTGTGATCTAGAGTTACCTTGGGGCTTACGTGTAGACACAAGAGACAACCTCTTTGTGATCCAGTTTGGCAGTGGTAAAGTGAAGAAAATCAAATACATGTAAAACATTGTATGTTGAATAATCACTTATTTGTGAGAGAGACTTTTTTTCCAAAATCAAAGAATATATAGTTTGATTCAAGTTCACTTTCTCATGTTCATATGTTTGGGTAAAATAATTTTAAAAAATAATATTATCAATAAGGTATAAAATATAATTTATAATTCATAAACAATTTTGACTGCTCAATAAAGACCCAACATAAGAAGAAACTTTCAATATCTCATGAAAATACTATTTCCTGTGGTTTCATCAATTATCGTTGCCATCATGGATTTTGTAAAAAAGACGTTTTCAGGGATAATTACACAATTTTGAGGACTAAATCATCGCCTATTACAAATAAACATTGTATTTCTCAATTCAAAGAACATATTGAATTTTGTGCATCTGCTCAACAACAAATTCTTCAAAAATTGGTGCTCAACAAGTATTGATAAAACCACAGTAAATTATTGTGAGCATGAGAAAATATTATTATGTACATTTTTATCAATTTGACCCTCTAGCTATCATGCACTGCACACTGTGGAGTTCTGATTATACTGGCCAGGACTAGAATGATCAATGCCCTTTGATCTAAAATAAATCTAAATCCTTTTAATTTTGTTATATGTTACTTAAAATAAATTAATTAAACACTTTACTAAAATTTTTTCTTGAACACATTTGTCACAAAATAACGCAGGGTTTGACTGTGTATATTGTAATCCGAAAACAATCACAAGATATCTTTTCATTGTAGATGTTTTCATTTTATTTTTAATTCACATACATCTTGAATTTCATGGACAAAAATAATTTCAACAGATATTAAAAGCTCAAGTTCCATGCAATATCTGCTCAATAAATCCATAATTATAGTCAGTAGAACTTAGCATTGGACTTTTACGAGAAGCACTGACTTCTACAGTTGACGTTTACTTGGACATTTAAACTTGTATCATGTACGGAAGTACAGAATTGATAATGCATACGAAAACCTTTCTTGTGGTCATAAGTATGGTGTTAGGGGCACTAACATGTGAAGACCGGGAGCTGAGGGTAGGGTCATTGTCGATTTCTTCAAGGACAACTTATATCTGCATTGAAATAACCGTTATCTCCGTTTAATTAAATGTTGAGCTAAATATTTATATCGTAAAGGAGCCACCGTACATATCCCTAGTGTAAAAGTAAGCGTCAATTGTAAAAGTCAGCGCTCCTCGTAAAAGTCCATTAAAAGTCGATCAAATCAAATTTTATAGACAGCAATCATTTCACTATAGCGAGCCACCTGTGCCACTTTTTTGGCTCCCCGTGTTGAGCCTCAATAGTCTTCTTACTCTCCTTATGAGGGCCTCCACAAAGCTGTATTGGGTGCTGGACTTAAAGTATTCCTAAACAAACAATGGTATATATACATGTAAATCCAAAGACATTTTTCATAATAAAGTGATGAATTAAGCATAGCTCAATAACAGTACATTGTATTTCTCAATTTAAAAGTATTCAGTATTATTAAATGCCATTTGGATTAAGTTGTACTCTATCATATGGCATAAAATCTGCTAATTCTAATGTTCCATAGGGTAAGCAAATATACATTAATCATCTAATCTCATAAAACATCGAACCAAATTTAAAGCAGGCTGGAGGAAAGGGATGGACAAAACACTTTTTATTTATGGCTATGGTAGAGAGTTAAATGTGAACCATGGAAGGATAGATAAATTTAAACCACTTTCAAGGTGGACATTATATCTTAAGATGGGCCAGGGGAAAGGTTTGGCTGAAATAATTGTCTGTGGGTGAAAGGTCAACTACGGTGGTGGTTGGGTTGAAAAGGGAGAGGGGGGATGAATCATTCTTTTTTAAATGTTGACTGTGAGAGAGGTATGAATTATTTTTTTTTTCTTAATATAATTTTTTGTTCATCTTTTTAGGCCATCTGAGTAAACTCATGTGATCTATTGCCATCTGTTTCCGTCCGTCGTCGTGTGTCGTTCGTCGTGTGTTAACATTTGAACATTTTTAGCTTCTCTCTGCAACCACTGAACCAATTTCATCCAAATTTGGCACAAAGCATATTTGGGTGAAGGCGAACAAAAATTGTGAGTTTCATGATCCCTACCCTCCTGGGGCCTGGGGGTGGGGGCCAACACCAGTAAAATTAATGTAATCTTTAAAAATCTTCTTCTTTACTCCTGGACACCAAGCAGTCAAACTGTTTGCATGATTGTTATCAGCATTGGGTCCTTTACCAAAATTTTGAAATTCATGGCCTTGGGGTCAGGGGTACTTGTGCTAGGGTGGGGCTAAATAAGTATAGAGTGAAAAATGCATTATTTCTTTGAAATTTTTCTTCTCTGCTCCTGGGTATAAAATAAGCTAACTAAGTGCATAGTTATAATGAGCAAGAGTGCCTCTACCAAAATTGTGAATTTTATGGCCCCAGGGTCAGGGGTTCTGGTGTTAGGGTGGGGCTCTATTGATCATATGGAGAAAATACAAGAATTCTTTGAAAATCTTCTTCTCAATGCTACTACATTTTATATAAATTATCTAAGTACATAGTTATGATGAGCAAGAGTGCATCTACCAAAATTATGAATATTATGGTACCAGGGTCAGGGGTTCTGGTGTTGGGGGGGGGGCTATATTGATTATACATGTATATTGAATAAAACATTAAATCTTTGAATATTTTCTTCTTTGCAACTAGGTTTTAAGCAAATGAACTTTACCTATATAGTATGAGCAAGGGCCATAATCTTCAAGAATTGTAAATTTCAAGGCCCCACGGTCAGTTGTACCATAGAGGGAGTGGGGGGGGGGGGAGCTGTACTTATATACTGAAAATGAATGAATTGTTTGAAATGTGCTCCTTGCTATTAATCAAATATTTTTGAAAAGCATGAGTGCCTTTCCAAAAATTGTACAATGTGTGGATCTAGGCCTAAGAGTCAAGGGTTCATGTGTGGTATTGGCACTACTCATTATTGCTGAATATTAGTGATTTGTTGAAATGCATTTTTTATTCCCATAACCTGCCTATGGGTATTAAGTAACCAAACTAATGAACTGCTAAGTGTATAATTATGATGACCAAATTGTAAATGCTATAGCATCTGGCTTAAAACATAGATCAAATTCAATCACTTGAAAGTTGTTGAAAAATGCTCAGGTGACCTATAAGGCCCATGGGCCTCTTGTTTCTCTACATTTGTAATGTCTGTCCTTTCACTACCTGGTCAATCTTCTGTACCTTTTGGAGGTGTGAGTCATGTATAGCTGAGTTTGCTGTCTGTTTCAGTGTCATCTTCATTGGTCACCCCCATCATAAGTTGTTTGTCAAATTTTCTGGTAAAGAGTCTGCATCAGAATTTTTCCAAATGATGAATGAGAAATCCCATTTAAATCTGTAAACATTTAAAGATTAACTTATTAGAATATATATATATATATATATATATATATATATACAATTTCAATATTATACATATATATATTATTTTCATTCAGTTTTATTTTTGCCCCCTTATTAAACACTTTAAATTTTGCCTTATTTTGGATTCACCTAGACTCAGTCGTGCCTGTTTTCTTAAATTTTCACACTTGTTAAGAAGGTTTAAACTAAAATTTGAGTTAGAAATATCCATGCATGCATACAACATTCATTTCACTGAGAGAAAAAAGATCATAATTAAGGTATTAAAACTCGTTTGTACCACATAAAAAACATGAGATACAAAGAGCCTGACTAACCTTGAAGCCTCCTGAGTTGTGTATGTCTGAGTCTGACTCTGGTACGTATATATAGATTTCTGCTGATTGACAGGAACGCAGTGAATAAGATAATACTCCAGGTGGCGCCACAACATAAACAGACAATTCTCCAAGATGTCCACAGCAGAGTCAAAGGATTTAAGTCCCACTTTTTTCCCAACCTTACTGTTACTATAGGAAACGTTAATTAAAAACCTGGTTTTTTGACCCCCCCATTTTTTTTTTAGACTTTTTTAAGTGATGTACCAAAAATGAAGCGTTAGAATTTGTACGGAAAGTAGTTGACACTGAGAAAAAGTCCACCCCCCCCCCAAAAAAAAAATAGGATTTCTTACTCTGGGCAAACTTTTTTTTTTGCTTGTCAACTTTTTCAGGTAGATGAAAAATATTTTCTCTGGCTGCTTCCCCCCTCCCACTTTCAAAAACGATGCTACACCACTGTTACATGAAGTCACCCGTCGTTAAAACTTAGAAAAACCTGATCTGAAAATACCAAGTACACGTGAATAGTTCATATTTATTATAATAAACGTCTACAAAATTAAGGGAGAAAATATTTCGAAGACTTTTCGTATAGACAAAAATATGATGCATATATACAAAGCTGGAGATAAAAAGATAGACAGGATGACTCTAAAGTTCATTTTCATGGGTTTAATGACCATATACTGTAACTATTGTTAATAACACCCCTCAATTTTAATTTAATCGTACTCTCTACATAGGTTGATATTTAGATAGCTGAGGTATTTAAATCACGTGACCTGGTAACAGGTAAATATTTAGAACACCGACAAGGAAGTAAATTGTGATGTACGGGATTATCAGGGAGGCCATGTTGGATTGAGAGGTGAGGCTAAATTTAACTTGCGGCAAAACATTTCCAGATATCATTATTGATCTCAAGTCTAGTACTAACAATAGTACGTAAAATACATTAGATAAATTGCATGAGAGGGCCACCTTAGAAAGATTAGATTAATTATATCCATTAACTACATGAACTGTTTTGATTGTTATCTAAAAATTTTTCTTGATTTTTTAAAATCAAAAATAAGAAAAGTTTACAAGCCAACACGCCAATACGCTATAAATAGATCCTTCCTGTTATTTCTAAACCTACACTGTCTAACAATTTCTCTAACAAAACAACTCATATATTGTATTTATTCAAAATTGTTTAATATTTCTGTAGTCAGTGACCCATGCCCCCAGTGATAGATCCCCTGGACAGAGCTCAAGTTCTCCTCCATTGTGACCTGTGTCAAAAAGCTGCATTACAGAGTCATTGTGAACTTTGTCAGATTAACCTGTGTAAGGCCTGTGTTGGGGAGCATCTGTCTGATTCATCTAAAAGACACAAAGCTGTTCCATACAAACACAGAACTACTACTCCTATCCTTAACTACCCAAAATGTCAAAACCACACCCAGAAACATTGTGAACTTTACTGTGAGAAATGTGACATCCCTGTCTGTTCTACCTGCATCTCCTCGGGTAAACATCAGGGTCATGAATTCAAAGATATCTTGCAGAAACCAAGCTTTATGAAAGAAATTTTTAAGACGGATCTGAAAGAACTAGAAAAAAGAATATTACCTACTTATGAAGAAATTTCATCAGATCTATACTCTGAAAAAGCAAAGTTGGAAAAGCATTATGAGAAACTGGCATCAGCTGTCACCAAACAAGGAGAAGACTGGCACAGAGAAATTAACATCATTGTCAACAAATTGAAATCTGAAATTGATGAGATGAAAACTAAACACCTGGCTGCTGTAAATAAACAGGAAAAAGAAATCAAACAGATTACTTCTGAAGTAAAACAGAGCATAGTTGATCTGAGGAAATTACTGGACTCCAATGATGTCTCCCTAACCTCTGGGTACAAATCTAGAAATGCTGAATTCAGAACTTTACCTCCTAAAGTCAATGTGTCATTACCAAGTTATTCTCCTCATCAGATCAACACAGAACAGCTCCATCAAATGTTTGGTACTCTGTCAGCATTATCCATTACAACAGAAGAGCGTGGCTACACAATGAAGACACCAGAAGCTGTATCCTGTCCTCCAGTCAAACCACTGCTTGATGAACCAGAGCTCATCACCACCATAGACACTGGGTATAGAGAACTATACAGTGTTACCTGTCTCAGTGATGAAGAAATCTGGACATGTGGAGAAGACAAAATCATGAAACTCTACAACCTCCATGGCAAACTACTGAAGTCAATCCAAACCAAGTCTGGAAAAATATCAGATGACATAGCAGTGACAAGGAGTGGAGACCCAGTTTATACTGACCCTGGTACAAGAACTGTAAACATGGTGAAGAATAAACAGATACAGGAAGTGATCAGACTACAGGGGTGGAAACCTTACACTGTCTGTAGTAGCTCCTCTGGTGACCTCCTGGTTACCATGGACAGTGACAATGATAAACAATCAAAAGTTGTCCGTTACTCTGGCTCCACAGAGAAACAAACCATTCAGTTTGATAGTGAAGGTAAACCTCTGTATTCATATAGTAATATCTTTAGTAAATACATCAGTGAGAACAGGAACCTAGATATCTGTGTGGCTGACTGTACAGCCCATGCAGTAGTGGTGGTCAATCAGGCAGGAAAACTCCGATTTAGATACACTGGTCATTCCTCTACTACCAAGGGATCATTTGATCCACTCGGCATCACAACAGACAGCCAGAGTCAGATCCTGACATCAGACCCGGACAACTACTGTGTCCGAATCCTAGATCAGGATGGACATTTCCTCCGTTACATTGATAATTGTGATCTACAGTTACCATGGGGTTTATGTGTAGACACCAGAGACAATCTCTTTGTGACCGAGTTGAACAGTGGTAAAGTGAAGAAAATCAAATACATGTAAAACATTGTATTTTGAATAATGACTTATTTGTGAGAGAGACTTTTTCCAAAATCACAAGAATATATAGTTTAATTCAGGTTCACTTTCTCGTGTTCATATGTTTGTGTAAAATAATTTAAATAAATATTGAATTTCTCAATTCAAAGAACATATTGAATTTCGTGGATTTGCTCAACAACAAATTCCTCAAAAATGAGTGCTCAACAAATATTTATAAAACCACAGTCAATTTGTGAGCATGAAGAAAGAAAAATATTATTTATATATTTATTTTATATTTATCAATTTGACCCCCTAGCTATCATGCACTGCACACTGTGGAGTTCTGATTATACTTGACTAGAATAATATGCCCTTTGATCTAAAATAAATCTAAATCCTTTTAATCTACTTATATGTTACTTAAAATAAATTAATTAAGCACTTTATTAAAAAAAATTTCTTGGACACATTTGACACAAAATAACGCAGGGTTTGACTGTGTATATTGTAATCCCAAAACAATCACAAGATATCTGATTAAGAAACTTTTCATTGTAGAATTTTTCATTTTATTTTTAATTTACATACATATTGAATTATATGGACAAAAATAATTTCAACAGATATTAAGAGGTCAAATTCCATGCAATATCAGCTCTGATAGTCAGTAGAATTTAGCATTAAAAAGTCATATCAAATTTTATAGACAACAATCATTTCACTATATAGCGAGCCACCTGTGCCTGTTTCTGCTCCCCGTGTTGAGCCTCAATAGTCTTCTTACTCTACTTATGAGGGCCTCCACAAAGCTGTAGTGGGTCTTGGACTTACAGTATTCCTAAACAAACAATGGTTTGTATATACATGTAAATCCAAAGACATTTTTCATAATAAAGTGATGAATTAAGCATATAGCTCAATAACAGTTTATTGTATTTCTCAATTTAAAAGTATTCAAAATTATAAAATATGCCATTTGGATTAAGTTGTACTCTATCATATGGCATAAAATCGGCTAATTCTAATGTTCCATAGGATAAGCAAATATCCTTTAATCATCTGATCTCATAAAACATCTAACCAATTTTAAAGCAGGCTTGAGGAAAGGGATGGACAAAACACTTTTTATTTATGGCTATGGGAGAGAGTTAAATGTGAACCATGGAAGGATAGATAAACCACTTTTAAGGTTGAGATTATATCTAAAGATGGGCCAGGGGAAAGGTTTGGCTGAAATAATTGTCTGTGGGTGAAAGGTCAACTACGGTGGTGGTTGGGCTGGAAAGGGGGGGGGATGAATCATTCTTTTTTAAATGTTGACTGTGAGAGAGGTATGAATTAATTTTTTTTCTTTATATAATTTTTTGTTCATCTTTTTTAGTCACCTGAGTAAACTCAGGTGACCTATTGCTATCTGTTTTCGTTTGTCGTCGTGCGTCGTTCCTCGTGTGTTAACATTTGAACATTTTTAGCTTCTTCTCTGCAACCACTGAACCAATTTCAACCAAATTTGGCAGAAAGCATCTTTGGGTGAAGGCGAACAAAAATTGTGAATTTCATGATCCTTACCCCCCTGGAGGGTGGGGCCAATACCACTAAAATTAATGCAATTTTTAAAAATCTTCTTTACTCCTGGACATCAAGCAGTCAAACTGTTTGCATGATTGTAATCAGCATTGAGTCCTTTACCAAAATTGTAAAATTCATGGCCCTGGGTCAGGGGTACTTGTGCTAGGGTGGGGCTCTATTGATTATATAGAGAAAATACATGAATTCTTTGAAAATCTTCTTCTTTGCTCCTAGGTTTTAAATAAACTAACTAAGTACATAGTTATAATGAGCAAGAGTGCCTCTACCAAAATTGTGAATTTTATGGCCCCAGGGCCAGGGGTTCTTGTGTTAGGGCGGGGTTCTATTGATTATATGGAGAAAATACAAGAATTCTATGAAATTCTTCCTCTCTGCTCCTACATTTCATATAAACTAACTAAGTACACAGTTACGATGAGCAAGAGTGCCTTTACCAAAATTGTGAATATTATGGCTCCAGGGTCAGGGGTTCTGGTTGGGGGTGCTTTATTGATTATACATGAATAGTGAAAAAACATCAATTCTTTGAATATTTCTTCTTTGCACCTAGATTTTAAGCAGATGAACTACCTATATAATATGAGCAAGGGCCCTAATTTTCAAGAATTGTAAATTTCAAGGCCCAACGGTCAGTTGTACCATAGAGAGGCGGGGGGCGGGCTGTATTTATATACTGAAAATAAATGAATTGTTTGAAATGTGCTCCTTGGTATTTATCAAATATTTTTGAAAAGCATGAATTCCTTTCCAAAAATTGTACAATGTGTGGATCTAGGCCTAAGAGTCAAGAGTTCATGTGTGGTAGCGGCACTACTCATTATTGCTGAATATTACTGATTTGTTGAGATGCATTTTTTGTTCCCCTAACCTGCTTATGGATATTAAGTAACCAAACTAAGGAACTGCTAAGTGTATAGTTATGATGACCAAATTGTAAATGCTATAGCATTTGGCTTTAAACATGGATCAAATTCAATCACTGGAAAGTTGTTGAATAATGCTCAGGTGACCTATAAGGCCCATGGGCCTCTTCTTTCTCTACATTTGGAATATCTGTACTTTCACTACCTGGTCAATCTTCTGTAGACAAGGTATTTTTTAAACTTGGAATAATTACTTGACATAGATTTAAATTATTATTGTACTTTTGCTGTAGTTGCAATGTATGTGATAAATTTTCATAAAATGTTTTTTTTTTGTTGTTGTAGAAAGAAAAAATATGGTAAAATTTTCATCATTATCAAAGAAAGTTATGTTTCATTGCATGTTTTTATGTCATTTATGTTGTTTGATTGTTTATTTCATTGTTTATTTATTGAATATTTTTTGGGAAAGGCCTTCTATGTTCTAAGTTTGTTATCACGTATGCGCAGAAGGGTTAGTGCATGACTTTTTTTTTTACCAAAACGGTACAAACTCCGTAATGCAAAAAAGATGCAATTTACTGTGCAATATTTTTACGCACTTTTGGGGAGAATTTCTCCACATACCAGCATAGGTCAATTAACGAGGCTAGGGGGTGGCAGCCATTTTTAGACTATGTCAATCTCCTTTAAAAGGAGAGCTCCATATAAAGATATACAAAATGATAAAATTTTAAAACTAAAATATATAATTTTTTTCTTTGCCAAATGATAGTTGACAGCTAAATATACCATATCTAAAAAAATAAGTTAAATCTGGTGGTTAATTTAAGATTAAATTTTTGACCCGCCAGCCTCCTTAATTACCTTTCACTGCCTAATTCTAGGCACATTATATAACTGATCATTTTTACCCATACCCTAATCCTTTATAGTCGTCTATAAAGTGATAAACTTTCTTGATTAAAATCATTTGTTAAACTGCTGCAAATTCACTTCAAGCCAGTTTATTGCTTGTAGAGACAACTATAAATGTTTGGGAGACGAATAAAATGTACACAATGGCTACAGAATGTGTCTAGAATAAGTGAGTGGAATTTACTCGATTAACAAATGCCATATAGGTATTGGATATATGCCGAAAACAGTTCTGTATTAAAAAATATCAGACAGTTTGAGGCCCCCCCTCTAACATCCTCACGCGCACACTTTTTTTGAATGTGCTTATGTTAATTTTATGTTACTATGGAAAGGGAAGCCTTCAAGGATTAATTTCGATTTTTTTTTCGTTATTCTCTCGATCTTGATTTCCTTAATTTTTTTATTTTAATTAATTAATTTGTTTGTTTCGATTTTGCTTGTTCGTTTTCGATTTAACGTATTAATTTACAATGACTTTTTTTTATTTTGACCGTAAACACTTTGAAAATTCAACGGCACATGCACCCCCTTCTCTTAAAAAGATCGCTCCTATATTTGATCATTTAATTAATTCCCGGATCATTAGTTGTCTTGCTATTCACATGGTCAGTCAAGAGGTGGTTATAATTATTCTGTTACAACCTGACTATGAATAAGATGTTGGATTTGAAAAAAAAAATACTTCGTTTTGTAAATAATTTCCAATAATCATCATTAATTCGATTCGTTATTTTTTTTTTCTCTCTTTTCTTTTCTTTTTTTTTTCTTGAAGCGGGGGGGGGGGGGGTGATATCACTCGGAGCTCCTCGAATGGCTCGTACCTGTTTGAATGGAGTGGAGAGGAGTAAGCTGAGGATTGCCGATTGTACAATTAAATGCATAATGACCTATCTATTACAAAAAAATGCTGAGAATAGATCATGAGAAATTTCTTCCAATGGCAGCGTGTAAACGTAGATTTTTAGGGGATGAGAACCATGCATCCAACACCATTTAAACATATATTTTCTTGTTTTCTTTGATTCAGCTGAGTATGAATTAAACTGATTATTTACATGTATAGTATGTATAACTGTGTATCAAATATTTAGATTGTACAGTTAGAATGTCATCCGATACCATTGACTTGGTCAATAAAATATTGCATGAATCAACGTACTGACTGACTGGGTAGCACATAAGAAAAGCTTATACATATGTTTTAATTAAATATTAACGATTTTTGTATATTTTGAAAGTGTGAATTTAACGTTTTACTTTTATTGTTGTCCGACTAGTTGTTTTGCATCAAGCCTAGATATCTACATAACTTAAATACATGTATTTTTATCGGTATATTTTAGTGCTGATCAAATTCAATTCCATAATATTTTTAACATGAGAATAAAATCCAAGGTTTTCTCTTTACAAAATTGTACAACATACGATATTTTTTTTACACAAAATTTAAACAATTGCAAGCGATGTAACGTGTCTTTGTTCCATGGCAAGTGCAACTAGTCGGGCTCGTTTTTGAAGAAAGGCCTACCCCTCCCCCGTTTCCCTAATGTACGAAAAAAATATTTCTTTCACTGATATATAGTAAAGTCATAATAATTAATACAATGTGTACCGGTATATTTTATTTGATTTTAGCATCTTAAATCACCGACATATAGGCAAGTAACATCGTTAGAAAGGGGGGGGGGAACATTAAATCTAATTTGAATTGTGGAATTTTCCACATTTAAATATAATTATCAATTGAAATAAAATAAAAGGA